GGCAACACTTTGTTTTATTTTCTTCACACCATCTGATGTACAGTGGTAACCTAACAGTGAGTAGCATAGTTTTGTTTGTTTTTTTCCGTTACTTGAATTATGCTTTCTCTTGCTCTACTGATATGTACAAACAGTACAAATACCCTTTCCATTGAAATGCTAAAAATGTGTACCTTGCATGCTATGATAATCATATGAAATTTCTGTAACTCAACCCTCCCTTGAGGCACTATCTGCATTTAAGAATCATCACACTTCAAATGAATTGCAGCAAGGAAGAAAGAACTTTTGACTTGTATAATCACAAGTCTTAGGGATGGTCAAGAACAATGTGATTGGATATGTGTATTGTTAAAGTAGATATGAACAATTTAATTTCAAATTACTCTTTTGTTGAATAGTTGCCTATGAATAGCTTGTGCTCTCTATCTTTTTGGAGATGGTATTACAGACTCTGTGATGAGCCTTTCATCACATCTGAGCATCTGTTAGTTAGACTTCTGTAAATTAACAATAACATGGTCCTGAGAGAAAGCACTAAAGAATGGTGACTTCTGATTGGTTATGAGAATATTGATTCAATTGTGTTTTTTCCAGACTGGTAGATGAGTCTCAAACTGTTGCAGTGCATCCCTGTGAGGAAGATCCAATAATGTTGAGTCGTGATTAGTCATACTACAGTTTTTGATAATGTATCCATATATTCACAAAATTTCTCAAATTATCAGTAAACATTACAAGGCTTCTGTACAGAAAATATCAGGTTTTTGAATTAAGTATTAAAGTTTTTCCAATCGTTTATTTTCTTTCAGAATGTTGAATATCCAACATGCAAAGCAATTTTGAATTAAGAGTAAAAAATACTTTAACTGAAAATTGTCAAATTTAATTTGTGTAATCTCTGTAACCTCCTAAATATCTGTCAAACATTGTTTTTTAGAAAAACATTATATTTTATCTAACCTAACCACCATAAAAAAATTAGGAAATAAATTTAAATTATACTTTTTTTATCATTCTAGAATTACTACAATTTATAACAGGAAACCACAAATGTTTATTCTAAATAGCTTAAGTCATGTAACAGTATACATTTATTTATTATTTTTATTTTATTGACCTTTTATCTGTGTCTGACTTAGAATAGTGCCTCAGAAGTTGCAATCACGTGGCTCACCAGTAACTCATGTTAATGTGCCCATTAGCACAAGACTAGCCTTTAAAAAGTGCATCTGTCTTAGCTTTGTACTACTAGTGCACCAGTATTTTGTAAAATACGATCACATTTTTGTTATAATACATTACATATGTATATATATTATTACTATTTACAAATATTCTTAAATTTCAGTTATTTTTCTTAAGACATTGAACAGTAAGTATAGAAGTATATAAAACAATGATCTGTACTACTTATGATTGTTTGTGTTACAAAGTTTGTACTCGCTGGCCATACTTTGCTAAGCTTTGTTGAATTTTGTACATTGAGGATGTAAAACAAAATAATCTTTTTAGGTTTTACATGTGTTTTGAAATAAAAAATTATAAATTACTATATCAATACCACAGAATTGCACTGTAATTTATCAGTCTTACTAACTAAGCTGTATTTGGGTCTAAAAAATATCATATCCAATTACCATTCTGTTTTGCCTCTATTCTTTGAGCTTGGAAACATAAGGACTATTTTTGGCATGTAGACACCTTACAAAGGCTGAAGAAACCATGTGGGGGAAAATCTGAGTTTCGATTGGTTATAAACATGTAATGGAGCTAAGTGGGTGAATGTAAACAAGTATTTCCAAAAATGGAAGAGCCACTGTGGTAGATTTACTAAATACAATGATATCTTGGCAAACAGTGAGTTTCCTATTTTACAGTATAACTTGCCAAAATTGGTAATTTGAGTTTCTAATTCGTAAAAAACTATAGTGGACATCATAAAATGTAATCTGACCAGCCATATCACATGAAACACAAAAATAGATATTTAGCATATTTATTTTAATATTTACTTCTAAATTAAGAAATTAACTAGTGTATAATACTAAAATTTGATTTCTAATATACAATTTTATGTCAGACTTATCGACATACATTCATAAAATGGTAGTTCAATAAAATTTTGAATGTATGTCTGCAAACATGGTGACATGCCCTCTGTTACATACCCATAGAGAAACCTGTAACTATAGGGTTATTACAATAAGAGTGTTTTTATTTCACAGTGAAAATTTTGTATTCAGTCTCTCTTTTTTTCAGTATAAATTAGACTTATTTTGTACTTTGTATTGCAAGCTTTCAAACGTTCTATTTAATAATGTTGAGTTCAGTTTACCTGAGAATGTCCCAAAGGTATGATGTTTATTAATGCTAGAACTACTTATTCTTTCAAGAACTGTTGCTTGAACTGAACCAACTACCCTTGGTGTTTTTTCAGTATGCAAGAATTTCTCTGTTACTTTTACATTTCAGAACTTACAGGTTGCGTAACAATCTTGTAACTCTTGGGTTCTTCCCAACTTTGAGAATTTACATTGTAAAAAAAAAACATGTAGAATATGTAAAGCCTGACAATAGCCACACAATCATTATACAGTTGTTAAACACTCGATTGATCTGTATACCAACATTAAGATCTAAATTAACACTCATTATTTTCATGTAAGAGATTGATCAACAAGTGCACAAGTTTTCTTGATTTTTTTAAAACTTCTCTGCTACCACCAATAACTAGTTAAATCAATGAGATTTATACTCATAGACCCTATATTTTGTTAACTGGCACAACCCATGGAATTTATTTTTTAGGTTTCAGGCCTTGAAAGTTATGGAATTTATATGTGAGTGTTGGAAAATAATTTTTATATTTAAGTTAGTAAAATGGCATAACTAAACCAAAATATATTAACATTTGAAGTTAATTTTGATGAAAAAGAAATACAATGTACCATTTTCAATATTTTTGAGTTGAGATTTACATGTTTGTTTTTATGCAGATAGGTTTTCTTGTACCCTTTCCAGTTTTACTGGTCTGTAATTTCATGTCTATTGCATCATTTCAGTCAGCACTGATGAAGATTGCCACTTCAAAACATTATTATTTCTGTTTGTATACGTGAAAGTTAATTATTGCACTCTACCTAAAAATTCCTTTGAAAAATGTCTAGAAAGTATTCAAAACTTGTGGCTCAAAAACCGTAACCAGAAGCTATTGGTTAGAAAAACCAGTAGTGTACTTAATTACGTTAACAAAGTATCGGTCATCTTTATTTATGCATTATTATTTGTCTCTTGAAATTGTCACTTTTATTGTAACGACTAAAAAGTCCAGTAATATATTGTGTAATATATTTAACCTCCAAAGTCATTAAAATATTGAAAGATCAAATGCTGCAATAATTCAAAATAAATTTCTGTTATGTTTATTTAACTGAATAAATGTTGAACTGAATTGAATCAGAGAAATGTTAAACAGTCTTAGTTCCATTCTGATAAATATTCATAGTTCACAACTTAGTGCTTGATATATTAATATTTTGAAATTTATTGTTGTATCTTTAATAAAGGCTATTGTTAATGTAAAAGATTTAATTTAGTGTGACACTGATCTCATTGTAAAAAATTGCTTCAATGACTATATCACCATTTTAGAGGGGAAATGTGAATGATTAGATATACTAGCAGATATATACGTATGTGATACATGGTGAGAGGTTTATGAAAATTAACAAATCATATATAATGTTTCTGTTTTTGTCCTAAATATGCTAGTAATGAATGAAAGTACATAGACTGTATGTATACCTCATGTAATGAAAAAGGAAACTGGAAAACTTCCATCAGTACCTTTATTGGGCATCCCTACTGACTGATATTTAGCCATCACTGGAGCTATGAAATTTATGTATTTTAAAATTCTTTAAAATACTTCTTCTTGGCACATCTGAAATCATAGTGGATTAAACCATATTTGATAGGTCCAAATGTAAAAGTAAAGAAGGAATAAGAGGACAAACAAACTTCTCTCAAATTATAGTAGGATTGTTCATTAATGTAGAAGAAAATATTCCAGGCCAACCTGTTTATCATGTCGATCTCTAATATAAACAGAGTATAGACAGGCAACATATACAAGACATGATGCAAGGCAAGCATTAAACAATAACAGAAATATACCAACTGTTTGGATAGTACCGTGTCATCAATAACTAATTTATATAAACACCTTAACACATATGATCCAATAATGACTAGGAAGAGTAAAAGAGGATGCATGAATCTCCCTGAATAACACAACAATAATAATTCTTGGCACCAACTGGAATTATAGCTCTACTGCAGTGTTATGTCTGTTGTATTTTGTATTTCTCTTTCTGTTTATTCATGTGTTGCTTTTTTTGTGTTTGCTTAGGGCCTGACATTGATGACAGTAAAAAGTTAACTTTTTATTGAACTCTATACTATGTATGAATATAATTTTAATGAAAGTGGTATTTTTTACATGAAAGAACTAAGTTAATTTTGGATAAATAATAGATGATTAGAAACTTTTGCTGCAGTTGCAGTACATATGTGTGTAATTAGAGTTCATACTGCTTTAAATTGGATATAACTGGTTAACACTACTGGATGGTAGTGTTTGCAACTGACATTTTTGAATTTCAAGTAGAGATATTAAGACCTTTAGTTGAATTCAGTTATTTTTTTTTCATTCTAAAATTAATAAGTTAATCACTAATTGATTTAATAACAGCAGCTTCATATTTATTTAAAGACTAAAATTGGTTTTCTATATTTTATGTAAGCAGTCGAGTTGTTTCACATAAACCATTATGAACAATGTATTTTAGTATAAAAACATCTCAGCTGAATATGGTCAGGTGAAGTACATTGTTATGCTGTTTAGTAAACTTATAACCCATTAAATATTTTTAGTTTTATTCTAACAGATTTCAGTGTGGTTTTAAGATATTATTTATGATGTTTGTATTTAACAGGCCATGTACCAGTTGATGGCAAAGTGTGAAGAACTAAGTAATTCCATGAAGCCAGTGTACAAAATGTCTGAAGAAATGTATCCTTTCAGATGCACTGTAATATTGAACAGACCTTACAGTGTATAATAATCACTATACATAGTAAGTATTTGTATTTTGAACATGTGAAAAAGTTTTATTATTTTATATTATTTTGGGGTGGATTGTATTGTGTGGTATGCTTAATATGAAACTAATGAGTAGTAAAGAATATACACATATACAACAGGTATGAATTCCTGCAGTGTGTTCAGAGGCAACAACAAGTTGCATGAAGCCAAAAGTCTCGAGCTCTTTATGATTGTGAATACTCAATATGTCTTCTTTCATCAGTTGAGCAGACCTTGGTATTCTCCGACATGGTGACTACCTTAGAGTTAAAAGCAGTAAACAGTGATTAATGAATGGCACAATATATATTACAGAGTTGAAACAGTTTTTTACCTCAGTGAACTGAAGCAAGAGTGGACACAAATTAGTTGTAAAAATAAATACTTCTGTATTGAACAAAAGACAAGATCAAAACACATCACATGTTCAAAGAATGAATCTGATAGGGTTGTCTCTTACAGAGTGCATGCATTAGTCATGTCACCATCTCTCGGTGCATAAGCAAAATTAGTATAACAGCTAGTTTTCAAACTAGCCTTATTATAGGATTTTGTTGCACCTCACTCCTGTCAGAAAAGGTTTGTCATGTTTAGAAGGTAGGTATAAAACTTTGAGCTTTCAGAAGGTCTATTTTGTGATGTTGGGTAAATAGTAGATATCAAGATACAAGCCTTTCTTTATTGTGCCCCTAACCCATGAAATCTGTGTCTTGATATTAACAATGGGAGAGACATTGGTATTCATGGATGAGTATTTCAAAAGCATTTACAGATATTTAAAAATTTTCTTTTTTTGGCACTACTTTTACATATGAGCTATTTAAGAAGTTCAGAATTACAGTGGTGAAAAAAATTATTGCATATCCCAGTTTTTTCACACTTTTCTTGGTTCCTGTAATTTTTATAAAATTGTAAGTTGAGGAAGTGTCAGAAGTAGAGTAAAATGGTTATGGACATTGCATTGTGTAAGCTGACTCATACTTCAATCATCTCAACATTGCATCTTTATTAACAAATCAACTGTGACAAACATATTACAACTGATGATCAACAAATACTTGGAAATACAAAAATGTTCTCTGAGTAAGAAAACATAGATGTAAAGACAATACTATTAACAGAATTGACAAAAAGTGAATTGACTACACTGCTTGACATTTCTGTAGCATAGTGTGCACAAGGGACTGAATGTAGACCACTGTGAGTTTTTAATGCTATGTATAGATTAGGGCTTCCTGTAGTTCCAAGGTGCTTTTCAGTTTCTTCTCTTGCACTTTGTTACCCATTACCTTCCAGCAGTTTTTGAAAGGGTTGAGATCTGGGCTGTTGCCTGGCCAGTTTAGCATCTTGATCCTCTCCTTTTGAAGATAGTCCTTCATCTGAAACAATGAAATAAAACCCAAGATATATTTTTCTTACGTGTAGAATGGAATTTCCTCTGTTTCACATCTACTGCATAGAGTGCATGAATGTTATCAACCTTTTAAGACCTGTGTCAAGGAGCACAAACATGCTGGATGAAACTTTTATCAACATTAACATTGTATAAAGTGCTTCCCATCAGACATTTGTGGGTTGAACTTGGATTTGTCTGAAAAAATAACTGTGCTCCACTTTGCATCAGTCTGGTCAACATGCTCTTTGGCCCAGTTGAGCATCATCTTCCTTATCTTGTTGGTGAGGAGAGTTTTTTTTTTGGCTGTCTTGCTGGGAGACTTTCTGTACAGGCAAGACTGGATGGAGCATGCATTAACTGGCTCCTACATTTCAGAACATGATTGTTAGCTATTGTGGAAGCTTTTGACCTACCACTTCCCTTCTGCTGCTTTTACAGACAGTTTTTTATATCTCTGCACCTAGTGATGTAGCAGTCTTCTTTGCCCCTCTTTGCTCAAAGAAACAATGACTGTTTTTTCCTGGAGTTAACTCGCAACCTTTGGCCATGGTAGCATCACGTGCACATTGTAGCAGATAGACTTTCAGTAACAACCTCTATTTAGACAAAATATAAAGCTGCTGATATAATAATTAGACAGTATTATACCATTCACGAAACAAATTTGCATCTACATGCATTAACTCTTCAAAACAGACAATGATTCCGGAGAAAAGGGTGAAAAAATTGGGTGATGCAATAAATTTTTCCACCAGTCTATCTTGTATATATTGTGAACTGTGGTGTCTGTCTGAGCATTCATCTGTCTCCCATTTATGGTGGCTGTTTCCTGTGCTGTGTTTGAAAAACTGTGCATTTAGGCAAAGCTCAACATTCACTTTAGAAATGAAGGGAGAATAGGCATGAATAATATTGATGCCAAATTTTATTTTACAGGCAGGATATTCTACATTAAATTGTTAGGAATTAATCACACTATCATTCCTATTACAAAATGTGACATAACTTAAAGAATACAAATGTACATTTAATGTATGTTCTTGTTGAGTGGCTCTTAGGATGATTGAACTGCTCAACAATTACTTTTCTTGGTAGGCAGTATGAATAGCTCAGAGCTAAAACCAACAGTACAACACAATTAACGTTTTTAAACTCCATGAAATAATTTAAATTGTTAGATTAACTTAAAGTTTTCCCATCATTGGGGACAAGTACTTTTGCTTATAATGCAATGGAATGCATCAAATATAAGGCTTTACCTAACATCTTTACAAAGATTTTGTACTCATAACATGAAAAGGCACACCACAATTATTTTCAGAAGCTGACATCTAGAACTGGCATTTGAGCTATTGATGACATCTTAACTCTCTCAACATGGGCTTCATCAAATTGACTGACCACATGACCACTATTTCAATACTACTAACTTATAGTATGTGTATCTTCACAAAACTTCACATACAAAAATCATATTTTTTAGTGAAGTATTTTTTTAATAAAGATTTGTTCATGAATATATCAAGCCTTTTTTTTAACTAGTTCAAGTGAAAAGTGATTTTCATGTTAATATTAAAAACGCTTTTATACATCTGAAAAACTTCAAATTTCATTAATCTCTAAAATTTCCTAAATACATTTGTAAAAGCTCTTGTTGCATAGTTAGAAAGCCAGAGAAATTGTGAGAATTAGGGGTAAGTTTCAATGTTTTGTATGTTATGAGTTTATGTTCTTTGGTGCATTATTTAATTAAATAAAAATTATTTAGTGCATTACTACCATTAGTATAAAAAAATGAAATAGGGTTAAGTTTCATCGACAATCAACAGCAAGAAAAAAGAAGATTCAGGTAAGTACTTTATTTCTCATTTTTCATGTTTATTCTTTATATACTATTACAAAAGTAAATTTAATGTAAAAATAGGAATCTCTCTAGTTAGTTAAGGTTAGATTAGGTAATATAAATATTAATAACATAATAATAATGTTTCACAAGTCACGCATGCAAGCAGCTTGTATATAATGTAATTCTATAGCATAACATGACCTCCATGTTTCCCAAGTGACTTGCAACTTATAATGGTGAGAATAGCAGTTAGACATGGTTCAAACTACAATAAAAGAAAAAATTTAACTATAAATAGATGTATACTGTTACAAGTTTAAAGCTACTTAGGATAAACAAATATAGTTTCATGTTACAATTTGAAGTTGTTCTAGAAAGAAAAATGGGTACTTTAGATTAATTTTAATTTTCTTTTTTTTTTTTTTTTTTGGGGGTTACGAGGTCAGTCAAATTGACCAACATTGTATAGAGTTATGGTAGAGAAAATAACAGATAAAATATCAAGTTTTAGTGAAAAGAAACATTTAAAAATGTATTTAGAAGGTTTTAGTGAATATACAAATCCAACCTGAGATTTTTGAGATGAAGAAAGATATTTTTAATCTTTAATAAAAATACTTCATTAAAAAACTGATTTGTTGTGTACAAAATACTTGTAATGTGTACTAAATGTTTGTCAAATTTTGTGAAGGTACACACACTGTATTAAAAGTTACAGTATTAAAAATATGTACAAATAAAAATGATCCCCATATGAGAGAGTTAATATTACCTTATAAAATTAAGAACTTAAAATTTACATACTATTAAAATATGGATTATTAGCTTCAACGTTATGCTATACTAATTGGTATAACATGAACAAAAAGTAGTGTAATTAAATGTTGAATGTTACTCACTAAAATCCTTGTGACATGCGCAGAGGGTTAAATGAACTTCAGAAATTTGTGGAGAGTGCATTTATTGAAATTGGCATAGCTCTTATCATATCAGACAATAATGTGTCTATCAAGGCAGATGCACATTAAAAAATATATATATAAGGACAAAGAGATCTAATGAGATCAAAATTAGTGTAAGAGACCAAACACCATCTAGAAACAAGCAGGCATATAATGTCTTTCCCATTTAAACGCAAGTAGAATTTGAAAATTTTCATATCTGATAAGCAGTGTAAAACCATGTTTCATTTATTTATACTAGTCTAAATATTTTTGCTATCTGGTTCACTGATGAGATAATATCTGTTGTAAGAGGCAACAACATTAGATTACTTAATACTTTTAATAATGACACTGTGACAAAGGACAGTGCCTCTGCTGGTGGTTTCAGAGATCTCAATGTAGAAGAAGAATCTGTTCTAGATTGAGAAAACATAGCATTACATACATAGAACAATAATGCTATTTCCCAGGGTATGTGTACTGTCCAAGTCATTGTTGGTCATTTCCATTGAAGAATAAGGGGGGTTTTATCCTAAAAGTATCATCTGACCCACTGCAAAAATTGTCGTGTACCTGTATACAATGAGTTCGAAGTAATCTTTCCCACGAAAAGGCACATGTGAAATCCTAGTCAAATGTTCCAATTCAGTAGGTAACTAGGATGAGAATAATTTTGTTACTTCCTTCACTAACATAAAATTTTATATACAAAAAATGTTGAAAGATCTATGTTGAACAAGGTGGTAGAAAATGTAGTCTGTTTCAGTCACTTACTATAAGAGAGAAAATGCTATCATATGGTATCCAGACTCATTCATTCTTGTGTTTGGATATTAACTCTCTCAACACAAGCTTGGCCAATTTGACCAACCTTGTGGCCTCTTTGTACTCTTTTAAAGTCTTTATAGATTTAATATAGTGTGTGTGTGTTTATCTTCACAAAATTTGGCAGTCTTTCAGTTAACATTACAAGTCTTTCACATACAAAAAATCATATTTTTAGTGAAATATTTTTTAATAAACTATAATAAAGATTTGTCTATGAATATATTGAATATTTATTTTGAATAGTTAGTGTGCAAAGTAATTTTCATGTTAAAAATAAAAATACTATTCATCATCTCCAAATCTCAAATCTCTAAAACCTCTTAAATACATTTCAAATGGTTTTTTTTCAGTAAAACTTTATATTTTATCTGTTATTTTCTTTTTTTTAATGAAGTTGAAATGATTTGTTTTGGAAAAATTTCACCATGAGTTATTTTACTTGAAAGTTTCCTTAAATTAACATTTTGTGAGTGTTCATGTCTGGCAAGTTTCTTCTCATTTTTTGATTGATAAGGCTCTTCAGATTGTTGAAGTCCAGCCATGATGTGGAGTTAAAGATTCATTCAGTTTAGATAGAAGATGATCTCTGTGTCAGTGTTTCTAATGAAGTTTTTCATCATCCAAACACTTTTGACAACTGTACTATGCTACTGATTTTGAAGGTTTCAATTAGTGCAAGTTTTGAGGCAGTGAATTTTATATAATCATAGGAGATCAAAATTGCCCATTTTTGTTCTGTGGAAACATTTCCTATACTGAACTAGAGTTCCACTTATCCTCTAACATCTTGTTTATTGCCATTTCTTAGAAGAAAGTTGATATTTGCTGGTCATATAAGTGTTTTAACGTGGAGGGCTTGAGAGATTGCAAGGTTCATCAGGCTTCTCACCAAATTTTCTTCTTTCTATCTATATAGTCTTTATTGTAAAACAGTCAAGAAGAAAATACACTATACTTACTTGCATACACATAAAAAATAGTTTCTTTTACTAGATCAAACTTAGACCAACAGCTTTCTCTCTCTCAGGATAGAACTAAAATATGATGATTTTAAAGCATGGTCTTTACTTGAACACAACCAAGGAAGTGCACTTCAGTTTGACAGTTAAACTCACTTTGTCCAGTAAACAGTGTCAAATTGTGACCCTTGTTCTCTCACAGTATTGGTTGTAGCATACACATATTGTCAATTTGGCAAGCAAAAGATAACACAATTGCTGAACCCTTATACTTTAATGCTATGTGATACTGTAATACCCCCTAAGGCAGAATAGACATTATCTTCTATAGAAAATAATGACTCTAGACCTCATGATTCTGCTACAACTACATTAAAACTAAATAAATGAAAATTTTAAGTTCCTGCATTCATAAAAGCAAATAGAAAACATATGTGTGTATTCCACACCCAGTGTAAATTTCAAAAAGTGTCAATTTTTTCATAATAAAATTGGCTGTTAGTGAGAAATTTAAAGTCCATATTTATGGGTTAAAACTGTTTATAAATATACTTATTGACAAAGCAAAAAAATTAGCACTGTGGTGTAGTTTATAGTGTATTTGAAAAATGGATGTTACATTACTATCAAATGTTTCTGTACATTTATTTATAATAGAAATGCGATTAAAACATATTCCTCTGTTGCTTAATAACTCTGAGTAATATGATTATAGTTTGACATTACAAAGTGAGTACCTAATACAGATTTCTAAAACTGGTTTTTTTCATTGATATGTTAAGTAGTTTAAAAAATCCTCAAAAATTAATTTTTATTTTAGTTTTTTGTATAATATGTTGAGAATTGTAATCATAAGAATCATTAATACTATTATTTTGTCTTTAAGATTTGTATCTTTGACATTTGGAGTATGTTGATTGTCTTTTTTTTTGTTTTATAAAAGTTTAATATAAACTGAAAAAATAACTTGAACACATCGGTTAATTACTGTACTTTTTAAATAGCAGTTAGTTTAGGCATTCTTAATATTGTTAAAATCAGCAGGTTTTCAGAGAAAAAATGTGAATATTTTATAGTAGTTTTACTAAATTTTTCCTTAACTTCTTTCAGTAAAGAAATTAAGAGAGTGATAGACTGCTTTGAAAACATCGTTGAAAGAAAAAGTTAATTGGTGCCATTGTATAACATTAGTTGTGATTAAAGCTAAGCAATTAATCAATTAGTATCACATAAAGTAATTGATTATTTGAAATTACAAGTAAATCTATTAATGTCATGAAAATATCCAACTAATTAAAATTACTGTTTTTGATTATTCCAACTATCCAAGTAACTGAAATATCGCCATTATGACTTCTCATTATTATTTCTGATACTTCAAAGTTGTTAAACTTAATCAGTGTCACAATTCAAGAAAAATAATCATGTGTTCAAAATTAGTGTTTCTGCTTCTTACAATTTTCAGTTATTCTAACTATCCAAATCTCATGTAAAAATAATCAGTTAATTGAATCTAATTTATTAATGAGCCCAATGATTCGTTGATTAGCAAATTCCAACAATTTTCCATCTGTAGTTGTGATACACATTGATAGTTATATCAAAACTGCTTGTTTAAATGTAGGTGTTAAAATTATAAACAATGAGTTTTATTAGTATGTTTGTGTTGTGTAATAAATTAATCAACTGATTTCAAAGAGCTAGCTAATTTTATTTTCTGTACTAGTTTTGTACATATCTCAAAAACTTCAAATTGTCAAACTTTTAGATTAAAGTAACTAAGGTCATACTTAGAATCCATTTTTATAGTTTAATATTTAGCTGATTTCACTTTCTCTTGTGAAATTCCAAGATTTTTTTTTTTGCTTTGCTTTGCTACTATGAATCCCAGGTTAATAGTGTATATTGAAAGAAAGGATTTAACAGACCAGCCTTTATGGTCAATTTTGGAACCTTTAATTCTACAGCTGCTTGAGGTAAACAACAGTTGAATGTACATGTCCGGGAAGCAGCTTGTGTACATACACAAGACTTGTGCCGCTTTTTGAAATGGAGATCTTCTTGACAGTATTGGATACGTTTGTCTTTGGCACATGGATGAATTTGCTGCAGACTTTTGTGTTTATGGATTCTCACCTATTGCAAATTTCTGTACTTTGCTTACCATGACTATGGGTACAGCTTGTTGCAGGTCTCTTTTTTAAATCATGCTGGTACTCCAAGTTGATCCATATTAATTTGTTTTTCCAATGCCATTAAGTACAGAGGATATCCCTCTCTTGAAAATACTTGAAAGTCCTTGATCTGAACACATCTTTACAGTTTAAGTGAATTAATATTTTGCATTGGGGAGGGCTGTTACATATTCTATTCAAAAGCAATCAATTTTCAGTGGTATCACACTATGTACTAAACAATGTCATAGTGTAGTTCTTATATATTTTGTTCCATAGTGACTTTAGTTTGACTGTGGTTGTCATATGACTTGCTGATTTGCATATTCAGAATCATTTTAATATAAAAACTGAAATCTTTGTAGAAACTTTAACATAGCAGATTCATTACTGCTAAGTTACGTGAGCTTTTCAACAAAGGAAGAAACAACTGATTTAAACATTGTGAACAAGGATTTTTATTTTTATAATTTTGGAAAAATTTTAAGTTAGAAAGTTTAAAGAAAATGTTTACAAGTAAATCCATGTAATATACAAAGTTATTGAATTCAACAAGTACAAATAAATCTGAATGTATTTATAAAAACCTGTGACTCAAGATTTTTTATCAATAAATTTTAAAATTGCAGATGTCAAATCAAATCTAGATGCTCAGAAATGATATAAAACTGTGTCTGATATGCTACTTAGTATGTTTTCATCATAATTTGTTGGTTTCTCAAGTCAGTGATGTTTAACTAGCCTGCTAAATTTTGGAAGTTAATGGGGTATTGATATAGCTGGAGTAATACATAGGTGGAACAGCATTTGTGATAAGAGATATAGGCCAGATGGATTCTCGTATTCCATATTTTGCAGTTAATGATGTTTGAGGTGCAAATTGTACTGTTCTAGCTTGCAAGTTTGTTTTTAAAAATTGTATCCCTCCCTTCCCCCCTCATGAAATGTTTAATTCAGTTAGAGTTAAAGTCTGGTTTGTAAAGTTGTTGACAAGACAACCACCATCTGTTGACTTTTTCTCCTGGGTTGCCTTTATCTTGTCTTTGAAATATTTTGGTAGTAATTCTCATAAGCTGGTCAGTAGAAGTTGTTTCCAGGCTGCAGCACCAATTACTTATTATGCTCTTCATTGTGCTGAAACCCCTCTTACATCAAGCAGTAAGTAGGGGTTAAATGTTGCAGAGGTGTATTACTATCAGGATTTTCTTAAAGTCTTCTGTATCGGTATCATTCAGGCTTATATACTGTCTCACGTGACTAATGCTGACAAACAGAAGGCCAGTTTGCCTGATATATATCTTTATTTCTCTTCCAACTCACTCAGGACACTGTTGTGTATAAAGTGGTACTGAAATTAACAGTTAGATGTTGAACTTATTATATGCCATAAAGATGAATATGCTGGTTAGGCCAATACTTATAGTCAAACATATTTGTTCTTTCAAAACTATATTAGTTTGGTTACCTCTAATACATTTATTCAAGGTGTCATTAATAGATAACAATCTGTTTTTGTCATATGTCAGATCTGTTTTAGTTTTCACATTGCTTAGTGAGTGCTCCTTTAATTGTCCTTTCTGAAATGTATGCCAGAACTAATTTTCCATGGAGCATTCTTCATCCTGCATTGAAAGTGCCACAATCTGTGCACATTCTGGTTTGGCCAGTACACTATGCATAGTGATATCATTTTGCTGAAACATTAAGGAGAAATTGTTGATTTCTCCTAAAATATCTTGAAGTAGGAACATCTAAAAAACAAACTGAACTTTCTTAGAAAACTGCACACACTATTACTTTGTTTTTGTCAGGTTTCTTTTTGCTCTCAGAAAAATTTTCCATATGCCCAATTACACTTGGCCTCCTTTCAGAAACTTGGAAAAAACCAATATGAAAATGTTGTATATACATGTTGTTTTATTATCTCTGCTAGGCTCAAGAATTGATCTTCCAATATTTTTTGCCTCCTTGAAGGTTTTTGTAAAACAGGTTAGTGGATTTCAGCTGCTTCTGTTGTGTATGACTCTTTAATGATGTCATTCAGGGCAAATTCCAAATGTATGGGTAATGCAGTGTATTTGAATGGGCCAAGGTGGCATCTGCTGCCCAAAGTGTGCATGTACCATGTATTTCCAAAATTGACTTTTGCACTAGCCACTTTAAAGTCTGTCATTTTAGATTTAAATTCACTTGAAAAAATGTTGGAAGGCTGTTTCTAGTTTTTCCAGAATATCCTTAGACTTAGCATTTATACACTAATGTAAGGTATCCAATATAAAAATTAAAGTTTTTTTATTATTTAGGCATATAAAATATCATGATATCTTTTCCTGTGCTAATTCTGTTTATGTTATCATCAGCGGTTTCAGTGGTGAAAGCCCTATATGCTTTTGTCATTCCTGTAGATTCTCTCCATTGAGATAACAATATCTGTCTGCTTTTCTGAACAAATATTCCACCTTTAGAAGAATGTCAGAATCCTGTTTTTCCATACCATGATATCTTTTCTTGTGTTAATTCTGTTCATGTTATCATCAGCAGTTTCAGTGGTGAAAGCCCTATATGCTTTTGTCATTCCTGTAGATTCTCTCCATTGAGATAACAAGTCTGTCTACTTTTCTGAACAAATATTCCACCTTTAGAAGAATGTCAGAATCCTGTTTTTCCATACCTCCTCCTTATTTCTTTTTCTAGCTTCTGTAGCACACAAGTTCACTTATGTGAGTATCAAATTTGTACTGTTTTACCAAATACTTTTTATACAAAACAGTCATAAAATGTGTTTTGAAAAATATACATGCTAACTGTTGTCCATTGACATCCAAATAAAATGAAGAGTGACTCTGAATATCATCATGTTTGAAGCAACATTTTATTATCTACAATACCATCACCATGACACTTAAAGTATTTTGTTTTTAACAAGTCCACTTTCCACACTTAACATCTTAATGGTTTTCATTGTGTGCTTGTACATATTGACATCTAACTTCTTTTTCACTGAAAATTCTATACTTGACTGATGTAATTATGCTTAAATTAGTTTGGCTATGCTTCATAACTTTCTGGATTATATTGTTAGGTGAAGTTGATTGTGTTAATATTGAATGATCAGTAGTGCTCGTTATTATGACTTCTTGGTGATGAAACCACAATGTGATCTTTTTTTTTACCTCAAATAATTATCTTTCATTTTTGTATTTTTGCTTTCATAGGTATGGATTTTTAAATGAAATCTGGCATTTTTTATGTAGTTGGGCTTTGGGCATTTGGGAATAATGTTAATTATGCTGCACACAGTTGATTAACTAAGAAAGATATGATACTCGTAGTAGTACTGTTCACAACATTATCAACAAAAATTTATATTTTCACTATGTATAACTGGTAGTCCCTATAAACACTTGGGTTGAAATTCAAAAATAATCGAATTGTTAGTGTGATAATTTTATCTAGAAGCTTAATGTCTGAAAGTTTATTTTGGAAATAACAGTTTTGTCTACAAATACCTCCACACTTTATTATTGTAAGTTTTGTTTTTAATTTTATATGTTGTGTAGTGTTTGCTAGAGGAAAATTTGGTATGACACAGTAATGATATATCATATCTAGAAATTTTCTGAGGGTCTAAATTTAATTTGATATGTGAAATTTTCATAATATCTGGGAAAAAATATATAAAAACACCAGGGTCAGACAGTGGACTAGTTAGTGAGTCTGTTAATCAATCAGTTTTGACTTTAACAAGTAAATGACTGTCAATTTTTATTTGAGAGTTAGATCTATCACTAGGTTATCTTCAATTCGTGAAATTGTGTAAGTTTTGGTTGAAGGAATAAAATGCTTTACTTTCCATTAAGCAAATCGGACTGTACATTATTTTTACTAAACAGTCAAAAAGAGAACCTGCACAACGATAAAAGTGTTACAACATTGTTGTTAGAAATGGTATTATTTTGATAAAAGTAAAATATTAGCAAGATTAGATTTTAAGATAATGACGCAAGCTTGAAGTAAGACAGAAAATTTAATAGAGGTGATGGAACATAGAACAAAGAAGAAGCAGAAAGATGTAAAAGAAAGAAACAGAAAATTAAAAGACCAATAAGAAAGAAAATAGATTACAGGAAGACCAAGATTAAGATTATAGAATATTAAACTATCAAATGGTAAGACACAGGAATTTCAGAGAAGGGTTAAAAGAAAGAGACTTAAGTTTTAAAGAAGAACTAAGTACAAAAATTTATATAGTTGGAACTTGAAAAAGTCAGTACAGCCTGGAGGAAAGCAATTGTGTATTTCATAAATATTTATTACAACCATAGTTTTAAATATGTGCGGAAAGATTATAATATCAAAGTCAAGGAGATAAAAAGAGAACATAAATGATGGTATAAAACATCTGGAGAATGAATTTGTAAATGCAGGGACCAAACTAACCTAACAAATCACATCTATTCAAACATTTCAACCTCAGCCACAATTAACTGTGAAATATGGGATAATAGAACCTATCTGGTTTACATCTGACACAGATATTTCCTGAACTATTCCAGCTATATTACAACCTCACAAAGTTACATTATTTAGCAGGATAGCTCAACATCATCACCCAACGGGAAAAAACCCAACAGATTACAAAGAAAAGATACCATGTGTGGTATATTAGGCTCAGTTCAAAATCATTTACAAAGTGGAATGGTAAAGAACAAGCTATTCATCTTGCTGTCAATTTTAAAAGTACTAGCCTTAACAACATTAAGCAACCTTTCAACTAAAATAAGTAACTATTATCAATCATTGGTAGATGTCTTTACTTGCACTTAGTCGCCTATATATATATATATACAGCGTGGTCACAAGTAAATAGACACCGCCTTTGCAGAAAAAAGGAAAATTTTCAGTCATATTCACATGAATTGATATATTTATAATTTAATTAATATCTAGTAGATCTTCCTTTTGCTTCGTGGAGTTCGTTGATCTTTTGGGGCATCGTGAGAATCATCTTGTCAATTTTAGATTGTGGGATTTTCGCCCACTCTTGCTTCAATACTTGAGGTAGATCGCTTTTTGAAGTTGGTTCTTTTTGGTTATTTCTTGACTTGATGGTCGAGTATGGCCCAGAGGTTTTCGATGGGGTCCATTTCAGGAGATTGGCTCGGCCAGGGCAACTTCTGGATACCATTTTCTTCCTGCGACTT